GCTATATCATGTAAGAGTTAAATGAGATAGATCATAAGAAGGAACATGTAATATGATATCAATCTTACATATGGCATCAACCTTACGTGTGACATCAATCAAACATATGACATCAACCTTACATAGACATACGATGTTATCTTTGCATATTAAATTCTTCTTCATTGTATGAATTTTAGATTGCAATTTATCATTTGCTGAGCGTAGCTCACTCCCTAGCTTTGGGATACTTTTCAGAAGAACCTTTTCATAAGTGATGGCGGAACACCCAGGGTTCACATATAGTCGCGTACTTCGGCTGACAGGTTATTTAATGTTTTCCTGGCAGTAGTTGGTGTTTCTTTTTGGGTGGTTTTGTCATAGCATAAATAGTTAAATGTTTGTAAACCACCTTGCATATCTGAACTTCTTTTTGTAATAGTTTGAATGTTAAATATATGTTTTGGAAAAAGTTTAGAGGCACTTTTATGTTCCTATTGAAGTCTTTTAGAAATTTTTTATACATGCAATTTGAAAATTGAACTGTTCTAAACGTCCAATTCCGTTCCCGCCTCGTCTATACGAACTAACCGGGCCGGATCGTGACAGCTAACGCATGCATGCACTGTAACCTCTCATCACAATTTTATGGCACAAATTGAAATTTCATGTTAGTCAGCTTAATGAACACTTTATTTATCATGACAGTCCTTATGAAGATGTAAAAACGACAAATCCTGTTTTGATGATAAACAGAACAATAATGAGTTATCAACTTGTGAATTAACTATTATGATTGAGGCTGATTCTACGACATTCGTTGAGTTTAAAACAAAATCTGCATTGAATAAAGCCCTTCAAACTAAACATATTGTTAAATATGAAATAGTCTTTTCTATAAGTATTTAGATGTATCAAAACCTACAGTTAACCTTCTCCACCTTCTTGTTGAGATTCCATTCAATTGTCACCATCTCAGCAGATATACCATTTGAAATGATGACAGTTTGCTTTAATTACACTTACTAAATTTGAATTTATAAAAGGGTTTCTACCTTTATTTCCTAATCTATTATTGGTCTGCATTGCAACTATCTTACAACTATATGAAGTTCAGAGCTAACTAGCACCCAAACCTCCAAATTTTTGTACTTGGTTGACTTCATCATCTAGTTGTTTTTTGCACTACATGGATATTTTTTCAATCATATATCATTTTAGAAAAGGAGTTCCTAATAGGGCAGACGAATTGTTGTTGCACAAATCATGGTAAATTAGCCCTCAAAAGTCTAATTGGCCATATAGACCAACTATAAGGAGTCAAATCAGACCACATGTGAGATAAATTGAACTAATTTTCAACCCTTTAAGAATCATATTTAATTATGGCTCCATTTTTAACTACTATTATTTGATTTACATTATTAGGCTGAATCAGTCTCGTTCGATAAAATAAGTTCAAATATTATAATACAATTTGACTTTTCCCAATAAAGGATTAGTTTGGATTTACATTTTGGCTATATATATGTCACCTATGATGCACCGATACTTCTCTTCAAAGAGGCGTTTCAACACTATCCCACATGACACACGTCTAATACTACTACAATACGTGTCTAAAAACATGTCCAATTAAAAAAATATTAAATACAAATTGGACACGCGTGTTTAAATATTTTATGAATTATTTCAAATATAACTTTTTGTATTTAAAATTTTTATTTATTTAAAATATAAAAACTAAATTTCTTATTTCATATGCACAACGCCAACTCAATCGCCCGCACTTAATACCTCATTCATCAAATATTATCATTTTCATTTCTGTTTGGCAAGTTACGACTTTGGTTGCACAACAATGCTCGGTTCATCTCAGCATCGACATATGATGTCGTTACAACATCGACATTTCAAAACCATCTCCACATCTAAGTCTGACATTGTCTTGACATTGATGCTTGACGCTAGTAATTTCTACGCCCACAACTTGACAGCTCATCTTTATTCAACATCTTTTTAACATTGATGACCAACACCCTCTCAACATCGACGACAGATACCCTCTTGGCATTGACGTCTGATACTTACTGCATAACATCGATGCCCGACTCTAAACATAATTTTCGACTCCTCTCTCGATGTTTGATACATGGCATCGACGCCTAACTCTCGACATCTTAATATTAATCATTTTAAGCATAAAATCTAGTTCAATGACTTATTATTTATAAATTATTTTCAATATTATACTTAATCAATTTTTATACACTATTTTTAAAATATTAAAATTATAATATCGTGTTCAACCCGTGTTCATGTTCTATATTTTCAATAATTGATGTGTCATGTGTCTGTGTCGTGTTGATTCGTATCGTCATGTCCGTTCCTGTGCATCATAGTATGTCACCCTATTTCAATAAATAGATATTGATGCTTTGTAATTAATTATTGATGATAAAGGAAATATCAGTATTTGTGAGGTCAATTGAATGCTCCTAAGATCACCCCTAGCATTAATGAACATGATAAGTAAATAATAAGGCTTTAATTGATAATTTTGTGTTATTGAAGTTATATGTATACCCCGGCATTACCACACATGTTAAGGACCTACTTTGGCTTTGCTTGGTAACATTGCGTTATTGATGGTATATAATAATTGATATAAAATAAAGCACTAATTCCATAGAAACGGACAAACTGCTTTGCAATTGAGTTGCCAAATCATGGCTAAAGCATGCATGCATTGTAGCATCTCATCACAATTTTATGGAAGAAATTGAAATTACATGTTAGGGCAGATGAATTGTTGTTGCACAAATTGAAAATACAATCAATGAACTATATTACCAAATCGTTAGAATTGTTAATGGTAACCATAGCTGTCAAAGAGTGCATGCAGATTCTTATTCTTAGGGTGCGTTTGGGACGGCTTCAGGCCTGCTTTGCTTTATAAAAATTTATTAAGTGCTCGTTTGGGACATTGCGGTAGAACAAAGTTAGGAAAATTTCTGCGGCTCGCCGCTGCTTCTCGCGACCTTTGATTGCGTCCCACGGTCCGCTGCGGCTCACTGCTTTCCGCCGTTTCGAAGGGGATAAATGACGGAAAAGCCGGGTCGCTCCGATGCGCGCCTTCTCCGATGGGCATATTTTTCTCTGCAGCGTCGTTGTTCTCCTCGTTAAAAAGCAAGGGTTTGCGTCATTCCAGGCTACGCTGTTTCTTCTTGGGAGGATTCATTGATATCTGATAGCTTCTCTGGTTACAAACGGCCAAGAGATATCGTCGGCCTGAACCAAACAGAGCTACAGGTACTGCATGTTTGCATCTCATTTTCTTCTTATCCGGCCATCTTCTGCTCTTAGATTTAATTGGTTTGGATTTTACAGGAAGGAGATGTGAAGAACAACCAAGTTTCCGGCTTAACTCATCAGTTCAGCTTGCCGAAGACTTCATCGGAGATAGCGGCGATCGAGAAGTTCCTCCAGTTTCAAGACTCATTAGTCGCACAAACTTTCTTATGCTATAAATTAACCATTATAATGTGACCCCAAAGTCATTTTCAAGACTGCCGAAATGGAGAAATAAAATAAATAAAGCAATTTTCTTTTTTTTTTATTGCGGCAGGTGGTTAAAAACTATGTGCACCTTCCGCGGCTCCACCACCCCTTCCGTCGGCTTGGAACACAGAAACTCTTCCGGCGATGACGTCGTCGCCAGCGATCCTCTGGAACTCCAACCCTTTGCTAGTCATCTTTTCCCCTTGCTTTTGAAGTTGAATTAACTAGTGTATCGGACTTAGCTTGAAGCTGAAGTTATCGATTACTTCTGAGGAAGAAAATATAGTTCTCTGTGCTCTTTCTCCAAAGCACATTGGTGGATTTCTCGTTCAAGGTGATTGCTGGTTCTCTCTTACTATTTTTGTTTTGGAGGAAATTTTAGAAGATCATGAAGGTTCCGCCGGCAAATGGGCTTCCGGCCAATCCTATAAAAACATAACAAATTAATTTAAATTATGATTAGAAAAAGTTAAGTTAAAATTTTATAGTATTTTGATATATAAACTTATTAAAGATTTGATAAAATTAATTAATTTTAATTCATAAATGTTAGTTGATTATTATATTTATCTAAATGTATAAAAGGGTATCAAGGTAATTTGTTGTCATACAGCATCAACACAGCAACTCAACAGTTATACCACCCAAACAAAATCTATTGATTTTTGTACAGCAACTTTAGAAAGCAGCTTTATGGACAACAACTTCACAACCTGCTTTACCGACAGCTACAGCCGTCCCAAACGAAGCCTTAAAGTGCTTTAGAAAATTTAGCAAAATTATCATGAATCTAATGCATACCAATTGCCTCTCAAATTTTCAGGTAAAAACAAGAGATCAAATCATCTGTTGGTCATGCAAGAAGATCATTAAAAGCCACAGCTATTTCTCTAAACTTTATCAGCAGCCAAAACTAAGGAAATTACGATGACCATGACAAAGCAAAAATAAGGGTTTGTTTGGGGATGCAGTAGCAACCAGCACTCCTAGCTGGTGCAGCCAGGAAGCAGCTTCTTGCAGCATGGTTGGTGGAAAGGCAGCCTTGCTGCATGCACAAACACTGCGTATACCGAAGCAACTACCCACAAAGAATTGTAAAACTGCTCTAAATGGAAAGACACTGCACAGATACAGAAGTCAGAAACTTGGCAAAAAATAGACCAGCCAACCAGCCCTGTATCTGTCATTAGTCATGAGAATCATAATGCTAAATGCATGTATCAACCCTATTATGTCATAGCATATTGTATTTGACTACTTATCTTTGGAAAGGGATAAACGGTGGAAACATATAGCATATTGCATCATACATGCCAGCAGCTATAAAATAATAAAATAAACTTCAAATAAAACTGAAGCACCAACATAATTCACAACAAGATGTGAAGTTTAATAATAGGAAAAAGAAAACAAAATAAAAGAGAAAATATTTTACTAAATATCAAATGCTTCAAGGATACACTGATTTGGATCATGAGGCACAAGCCTCATCTCTGTTATCTTAGATAAATATGTCTCATCAGGGCACTCAGCATCCGAACCCCCCTCAAACTCATCATCTTTAGCATCTTCAGCCTCAATCTTCAGAAAAGCCGGATGAGAATCAAAATACTATTTAGTGCTAAGAGAGAAATATTATAATGGCACCAACATTATAAACTATGATACATAATGCATAATATACAGAGGTTATGTTTGGAGACGCCAGTTCATGCAATTCAGAATTGACTTCCAATGTGAGCACGGTCATGGCAGTTTAGCACATCAGATTTTTTAGCAGCACCAAACCAAATCCACTCACATAAGTAAGGCCCTCGAAACTGTATCTTCTTTCTCAAACACAAGGAATAAAGAAAAAAATCTGTCTTTACTAATTGCCGATCCTAACTAAAGCCTAAAGTCCAGGCCTCAACTTCAGCTTTTTCAAATATGGCATTCTAAATTTCTACCATTTAGATTGTGGCATGCAAACTGCAATTAAGAAAATAATAATTGGCAAACAAAATTTAACCAGCTAACTTTTAGCTAAGGCTAAAAGCCTTTTACCAATTAAGTAATGTTTTGAAATATTAAAAGGGCTAATATCTATCTTGAAGCATCAATTACCAGTTTAAACCTTTATTTAACAAAATACAATTCAGTTGTCCTTACAGAGATCCACAACTTACCAGGGCTTCAAACTTAACTGAACTTCAATCACATATATGACTATCTTTATCTTTTTCAACACGACCGGTGGAAGCTTGATGAATAGTAGAAGTTTGCAAAATAAGGGACCCTTAGTGTCCTAGCTCTTTGGTTTGCTACGCCCATACAATGCAGGAGTTTGTTTAGATTACTTATCCGTCATCTTGTGGCTTGAACTAAAAGCCCAACAGGTAACCAGGCACAGGGATTTTCAGGGGATAAACCACACGGTCATTTTGCCATTCAGAACAATAACTAAGCTCCAGTTTGCAATGGGCAACAAACATTTCATGCTTACTTATTAGAAAGGGCAAATAGCATAGCACTACTCACAACACAAGAAGGGTAAAACTTGCAAAATCACAAAAAATGACAATTAAATTAATGGAGTGCAGAAAAATAAGAAAATAGCAGTTAAAACTCCATTTTATATCAGAAGAGAACTTTCAATTTAGCCAAGTTAAACCGATCACAATAGGTGTTTGGAACTAAGAAATTTGAATAGACTTGAAAGGATGTAATCCAGTGCATGTCTACGTTAATTGCACCACACAAAAGAAATAGGAATTGACATTTCAGTCCAAAGCAAAAAAACTAATGAGAGTGAATCACTTTAATCTTTACAGGGAGAAGTTTATTAATAGCCATCGGATCTATACTCCCAATTTTACTAAATGTAAAGGGAAATATCCAATTTCCAAGGAAGAATAAAAGGTAGCACTCAATTCACAGTTCTCCCGCAAATGCTGGGTCTGCAAATGGATTGATGTAACCAAGAATATACCAATTTCCAAGAGACCATAGATGTGATTCATGATCAAGACCTCTAGGTTACACAAGGAGGGTACCAAACCATTGCTTTGAACCCATTTTTAAGAAGCAAAAAAAAAAAAAGTAAATAAAAATATATGAAGGTAAAATCATAAAGGAAAATTAAGCCTTTGTAACAGGAACAGCAATTACCTTGTAAGTAAATATGTCAAAAGAAATTCTATAATGTTCAAATATTTAAAATACAGAGAGAAACAAACGCTTAATGGCAAATTGTCAATCTCTTTTTTCAGTTCAAATATGCATATGCTAGTAAGTCTCCGAAAGAAGAATACAACGCAATACCCAAATCAAAAGTGTACTAGATGGTAACTTGTAATTTTGTAAATGACAAATGAATTGAAGACACTTGGCATATTATAACAAAATTAATGATGATTGTTAGCTCTATGATTGGTTCAGGAACTTGAGGATTCAATTTAACATTCTACGGATGAAAAATTAGAAATGGAGCAAAACATTTTAAAATAGAATCAATACTACGGAACTTGAATAGACAAGATGGAAAGTAAAAAAAACAATAAAATTTTACAAAAGCTTAATAGTTTTAAAAAAGTTGCCCAAAGACAAAAAAGTATTCTTTTTTGGTGGAAGTGATATCAGGCAGTCAATGATGGTTGATTACTTGATAACTAGTGAAATTCTCAGGAAAGTTGCAAGGGCTACTATGATCATCAGTTTCCATCAGACTCAATGATTGCTTTATCATTGTATTCAGTGTTAGAAGCAAACCAACAGACCAAATATAAAACCCTATATTTTAATGTAAGCATGATTTCTTTTTTCCAAAAATCATTCCATATTTTAGAAATAAGTAAATCCATCTAATAGCTTATACAGTTAACAGTTAATTTAAATGAAATTCCTTAACAGATAACCATTTAAAACTAATTTAATTAAATGCAATACTGTAGCATCTCCACTCCACTAACCGAGCCATGCATTGGCTGATTTCCATCCAACGGCTGCCATTATGAAAAAAGTAAATGAAAATCTAAATGAGAAGTCATATATTGGGGATAGGCCCGCACAAGTAAAGACGAAAGACCTGATAAAATAAGCCTTAAGGTAGTCGTATAGTAGGTACCCTACATTCTCTCACTTCTAAAAGTTGAGAATTCAAACTCTTCCTTGAATGAGAGAGCTACCCTCCAATTCTAAAAGTTCGTAAAGCGGACCTAACTTAAAATTAAAAAGTTATAAGTGTGCAAAAGTATATAGTCAACATATCACTTGCATAAAATATTGAACAATAAACATAACGGGAAAGATGGAAAGCTAAATATACATGAATTTCTTGTATAGCTTATGATTACTATAGAAATCCTCATATTATTTTCAATTAACTGCAAACATGTTTTTATTTCTTCTACTATGCTTGCATATTTCATTGAGCTCTAGCTCATTGGTAGTGGTTTTACTGTAAGAAAGAGGAAGAAGTCAGTGGGCTATAAGGCAAGAAGTTTGACTGCCCTCTTTGTGTACATAAATTTTGGATGTACATAGAGATCAAAAATAGAAGCTGTACGGACATACTTTTTGGGTATGTAAATATGAGTGGATGTTTAGTAAGCTCTGTATTTTATGTGATGTGTTTTAAATATGCTTACAGTTATGAAAATTTTACTCCAATTGAGAATTGAAAATAAAAATCCCTCGATGTGTTGGGATAGTCTGGATAGGCTACTTCCTACTCACTTGATCCTGATAGAAATATTTCAAGATGGGTGTTAGTAAGAGATATGTCTCTCAAGATTCTGCTTCTCTGTTACACTTCAGGTAGACTGTAGGAAGGTCAAAATGGGGTGTGACACCAAACATGTAAGAGGTATCCGTGCCAATAAAAATAAACTAATGGTAAAATGAAAATCCTACATTGAAATAACAGTTAAATGTGGTTAAACATCAACTTAGCATATTCCAAAATTGTGTGGCATGCCTTTCATCAAACCTGGCACTGTATAAAAACCTTGTCAAAGAAATACAGCTATAAATGAAGGAATTGAAGTCTATTAAATACACCCGATTACTCATCCACTAGATGAAAAAGAAAAACATCTACAAGTTTTGTAAAGTACTCCTTAGGTTTTCATTTATAAATATATTAAAGATTAATTGACTTCAATTTTTTAAAATTCTTCTTCGTGACTGACACCCCGCGCCTAATTCTAGCAAATTGCACCATGGCAAGCTAACTTATCAGAGTGAACATCTTATGGCTGGTATGAGCCTGTTAGCATTTTGTACTGGTGCAAGCTCACAGGTGCTAAAACAGACAATAACAAAATCGGCCAGCTCATAATGACAAGATCTCACTAAAATATACAAGATAGTGATGGTAAATTTGCACTTGCTCAATCTTGCCAGCACCAACACAAGCTCGCATTACTAAACTAGGACGGTGAGCTTGTCAGGCCTCTTTTTATTAACTATAATATTTTTTAAAATCTAATGTCAATGCCTGGGTTGCCAAAAAATAGGAGTGACATTTGTGCTGCCATCAACCTAAACATTTATGCTTGGATGGCAAGAGTACCAAAAAATCAATTAAAATGCAAAAGTGATGCTCGAGTTTCATTAACCCAAGCAGGCTGTAAAATATTTTGGAACTAACATCCGAGAAGCTGGAAATCATGATGACATCAAAACTTAGGCTTTCATAAATGGGTTTCCACAACCCCAAGCGAGAATGCATGACCTGCCAAAATCCTAAGTGTGAATGAATGGATTGGTTAAAAAACAAATGTTCGTTTAACACAATCCTACTTTTCTTTGTCTACAATAGAGCATATTAAAATCCTTATTTACAAACATTAACAAAACTTAACTTTTTCATCCAAAGGACAAATTCAGAACTGAAGATCTTATATAGAGCACTATTTATGAAAATGTAAAGTTAATTACACATTACTAAAAAACAGCACCTCCGGCTTTACAATTCTAGAGAGAGTCCACAATTCTAAAGAGAGAGAATCCTTTTTGAATTTCTGTTAGAACCATTTTAGCGGGAGGTTTGATGATCACCGTGGCAACCATGGCCGGAGTTGATCGGAAGCCACCTCCGGCTTCCATTCCTTCCGATCTGGTGTCTTCTTGCTCTGTTTTAAGGAAAAGTCTTGAATCAAGAATTTCGTCTCCTGGAACCCTTGTCATTAAGGAAGTTTCGGATCCTCCAATATCTTCTAACTTTGTTTCCTATTCTGGTAAAGGTAAAAATGTGTTGGTGAGTGACTCAGTTTTCCCTCCAATGCCCAATGGTAAGAATTCTTCAAAATATGAAGATCAAACTGATAAAGATATGTCTTCTTCGGCTGACCTGTATTGCGAGTTAACAGATTTTCTAATTCTGTTAGTGGGATTAAAGTTTCTTTGTTAGAAGAAGGAGAAATTGCATCAACAAAATCGGAATTGATTCTCAACCAAAATTTTTCTGTAGCACTTAAAAGAAGTTTCTGGAAATGCTCCTGAGAAGTCCCAACACGATGAATTGAATGTTGACACAGTAAAGCCAATTAATGTATGGAAGAAACCTTCAAATATTGTAGTAGATCCTTCAAAAGTGA